CACAAATAAAAGGATGGCTGATTTTAAGACCATTAAGATAGAATGCAGTGACTTTTTTAATGATAATTAAATGTTTTTACCCCAAGTTCTCATTATCGCATTGAACATGAATATTTGATTTTGAAGTTTTGAAGTTAACAGAAGAGACGGATGGCAGCGCGTGGGTGTTTTGCTTAATATTTTGTTTGGAGATCTGTTGTTTAAATTATTACTTGCTGCTTGGAAGGAATATTTCGTTGTCTACCTATTTCTACTTTGTATTTTCCTTGTAGTTTGTATTTTTGATTGGACTTACTGGTAATTATAATAATTGCCGCCGGCTAAGAAGGAGCCTGTGTTATTGGCATTGCTCTCTTCCTGGACTTAAGTGCAAACTGTATTTTCGATTTGAGCAATTGCCCTGCTATAGGCTATTGGCTGTGCTAATTAGAAGGCGGCCACAGCTGTTTTCACTGTAGTTTCTTAGACTGTGTATTTCGTTGAAGCGTTCAGCCTCAACATGGGAAGACCGACGAGTGTAAAGACCTGCGACTTTACCTGCGCGACTTCACCGAGCAAATTATTTTTAACTTCCCTTTACACACTCTCCTTTTCTGTCCTCTCTTTTCCACCTCTATCATGTGTTTCCGAAACATTCCGGTTGTCTCTCAACAACGCTCTAACATCACACGCAGACGGAAACGCAATCTTGCTAACCTGATCCTATCTCTACATCTTCTACTGCACCTCGTTCTTTCTCTGTGGGTCTCTTGAATTGTCAGTCAGCTGTCAACAAAGCAGACTTCATTTCTGCTTTTTCTTTACAATCCACACTCAGCATCTTGGTCTTGACTGACCTGGATTCGTCCAGAAGACTCCAGGATCAACCCCAGCTGCTCTATCTAACAATTTCTCTTTCTCTCACACCCCCCGTCAGGTTGGCCGGGGTGGGGGCACTGGTCTGCTCATTTCAAACAATTGGAAATACTCAACCCACTCTCCCCTATGCATTTGGGGTCTCATGCGATTACTGTAACAGCTCCTATAAAACTTCAGGTTGTGGTAATTTACCGCCCTCCTGGGCACATTCTAGGCACCCCCCTGGTTATCCGATGTTCTTTGTGAGCATCGGACCAAACTCAGGGCAGCAGAGAGAAAATCTTATCAAATCAAAAGATCCGTCAGTATGTATCAATCTTTGGTTTCATCTTTATCTGCTGAAGTCCATACTGCCAAATCTTCATATTTCCACAACAAGATCAACAGTGCTCCAGACACACTTAGTCTCTTCAAAACGTTTAATTCTCTCCTCTGTCCCCCTCCACCACTTCTATAACAGCTGATGATTTTGCCACTCTAGACCCAATCCCCTCACACCTTCTCCAAGCAATCTCTCCTACACTCTTACCAGCACTCACACACATTATCAACACATCTCTCCTCACAGGCACCTTCCTCACTGCATTCAAGCAGGCTCGGGTAACCCCACTGCTCAAAAAACCTACATTAAATACTTCTGTTATGGCACGACTGGTCTTCAACGAGCCCAAAAGAGCCCATGTTACACCTCTCTTTATCTCCTTGCATCATCATCTTCCCACCCCTATCCGGAATGCTGAATCCCTGACAATTTTCGAGCGACAGCTGAAAACACATATCTTTCGACGCTACTTCATCCTAAATTTATAAAAAAAAATAAAAAAATAAAAAACTTTGTCTCTCTCTTTATTTATTCCTTCCCTTTCTAGCTTGTACTTGAGCGTCTGCAAAATGACTAAATGTAATGTAAATGTAAGATGTTTTGTATTGTACTGTATTACAGTATAGACAATGACTGCAACACAATGTTTTTTTAATAATATAAAATTTAAATAATAAAATATATACACAACTATTCAAAAGAAAAAAGAAATTAATACTTTAATACTAATACTAAGAAAATTGTTTCTTGAGCAGCAAATCAGCTTATTAGAATGATTTCTGAAGGATTGTGTGACACTGAAGCCTGGAGTAATGATGCTTTGCATCACAGGAGTCAATTACATTTTATAATATATAAAAACAGAAAAAAATTATTTTAAAACCACAATAGTATTTTACAACGCTACTGTTTTTATTGGATTCTTGATCAAATAAATGCAGCCTTGGTGAGTGTAAGCGACTGAGTGTAAGAGACTTCCTTCAAAACCATTAAAATCTATTAAAAAATAGTGTTTAATCATATACTAATTTTTGCAGTACTGTAATGAGAACATTGCTATGAAAACAATGTCCAATGGTCCTACAATAGGCTTCATTTTCCTTAAGTATTTATATTTTTGTTTTATTATAATTTTGGATGACCTGGACATGTTCTAGATAGGTTTGTGATTCACCCATTTACACAGCAATACCTAATTATCTCAGCCTTACATGTAAAGGAACCACATAAAAAGCCAAATTTTTTGAAAAGACACATCCTGAAGTCACATTTCGTGCTGTGGTTTCCCACGTTTAACAATAGCTGCTGTTAGTGTGGAATGTTTTGTTCCTGTAGTCGGCTCACCTGTATAGTACAGCGCAGAGACGGCCAGTTCTTTAGGCCACACCCTCTCGTCCTCTTGAGGTTTAAAGTGGGACAGTTCAGGAATTTTCCCACCAATTGGTACATTGTAAAGCTTTATGCCGCCTTTGCTGTTAAAGGAAAATGATACGACAACAAAAATCTATTTAAAAATCCCCAACAGGTATGCAATTATAATCAACCTCATTAAGTCACTAAAACCAGATATTTACATTTGAAATTCTCAGTGTTTTAGTTTCAAATCACAAATAGTAAATTTAGAAAGAATTCAA